AAAATGTGGCCGGGGAATGGAGTTCTGGGAACTCGAAGAACACGAAGTGGCCTACAGTTGGCTCCGGGCATTCAAAATCATGCCCAGGAATGGAGTTCTGGGAACTCGAAGACCACGAAGTGGCATACAGTTGGCTCCGGGCATTCAAAATGTGGCCCGGGAATGGAGTTCTGGGAAGTCGAAGAGCACGAAGTGGCCTACAGTTGGCTCCGGGCATCCAAAATGTGACCCGGGAATGGAGTTCTGGGAAGTCGAAGAGCACGAAGTGGCCTACAGCTGGCTCCGGTTATTCAAAATGTGGCCCGGGAATGGAGTTCTGGGAGGTCGAAGAGCACGAAGTGTGTGACTGTTGGCTGAAAACGAGCCCGGTTCTGTTCCCGGTTCTCCTCCCCGGCACCCGCCCAGACCCCCCTGAGGAGTCATGATGCTCTCTTTTGACCCTACTAGAAACCTATCAGCAAACGCTGTTAGGTAAGAATCTGTCTTCGCAGCGCGTTTTTTTGGTGTAAATTGTAAACGTGCAGGAAGTAGAGTGGTTGAAGATAGGGGAAGCTAGGGGATAGAGTGGTTTAAGATAGGGGGACATTTCAACAAAAGAAATTATCCCGGCAAAGCAACCTAACAGCGATGTGTAGGAGCATATCTGGAAGCATTCCCCTTAAGATTCGGATGGGAATCCAGTTGTAGAATTCTGCTGTTCTCGCAGTCGTAGTCGCATTCGCGATGACAGTCGCAGTGAACGGCAGTCACAGTTCCAGCCTCAGCATCAGCCTGCCTCAGCCTCAGCCTCAGCCGGCCTCAGCCTCAGCCTGCTTCAGCCTCAGCCTCAGTCTGCCTTCAGCCTCGGCCTCAGCCTCAGCCTGCCTCAGCCTCAGCCTGCCTCAGCCTCAGCCTGCCTCAGGCTCAGCCTCAGCCTGCTTCAGCCTCAGCCTCAGTCTGCCTTCAGCCTCGGCCTCAGCCTCAGCCTGCCTCAGCCTCAGCCTGCTTCAGCCTCAGCCTCAGCCTGCTTTTTCAGCCTCCGCCTCAGCATGCCTTTCAGCCTCGGCCTCAGCCTTCAGCCTGCCTCAGCCTCAGCCTGCATCAGCCTCAGCCTCAGCCTGCCTCAGCCTCAGCCTGCCTCAGCGCAGCCAGCCTCAGGCATAGCACCACCTGCCTCAGCCTCAGCCTCAGCCTGCTTCAGCCTCAGCCTCAGTCTGCCTTCAGCCTCGGCCTCAGCCTCAGCCTGCCGCAGCCTCAGCCTCAGCGTGCCTCAGCATCAGCCTCAGCCTCAGCCTGCCTCAGCATCAGCCTGCCTCAGCCTCAGCCTCAGCCTGCCTCAGCCTCAGCCGCAGCCTGCTTCAGCCTCAGCATCAGTCTGCCTTCAGCCTCGGCCTCAGGCTCAGCCTGCCTCAGCCTCAGCCTGCCTCAGCCTCAGCCTCAGCCTCAGCCTGCCTCAGCATCAGCCTCAGCCTCAGCCTGCCTCTGCCTCAGCCTGCTTCAGCTTCAGCCTCAGTCTGCCGTCGGCCTCGGCCTCAGCCTCAGCCTGCCTCAGCCTCAGCCTGGCATTCGGATTCGCAGTGGCAGTCGTAGTGGCAACATCAGCGGCAGTCGCAGTGGCACTGCCAGTAGTTGCAATAGCAATAGCTACACTAGCAGCAGCAACAGTGGCCCGGGAGTGGAATTCTGGGAAGTGGAAGAGCACGAAGTGGCCTACAGTTGGCTCCGGGCATTCAAAATGTGGCCCGGGAATGGACTTCTGGGAACTCGAAGAGCACGAAGTGGCCTACAGTGGGCTCCGGGCATTCAAAATGTGGCCCGGGAGTGGAGTTCTGGGGACTCGAAGACCACGAAGTGGCCTACAGTTGGCTCCGGGCATTCAAAATGTGGCCCGGGAATGGAGTTCTGGGAAGTCGAAGAGCACGAAGTGGCCTACAGTTGGCTCCGGGCATTCAGAATGTCGCCCGGGAATGGAGTTCTGGGAGGTCGAAGAGCACGAAGTGTGTGACTGTTGGCGAAAAGCGAGCCCGGCTCTGTTCCCGGTTCTGTTCCCGGTTCTCCTCCCCGGCACCCGCCAGACCCCCCTGAGGAGTCATGATGCTCTCTTTTGACCCTACTAGAAACCTATCAGCAAACGCTGTTAGGTAAACATCTGTTTTCGCAGCGTTTTTTTTGTAAATTGCAAACGTACAGGAAGTAGAGTGGTTGAAGATAGGGGAAGCTAGGGGATAGAGTGGTTTAAGATAGGGGGAAATTTCAAAAAAAAAAAAGCAAAACAGTGAAAAGCTATATTCCACAACTTTCTTCCACAACTTTAACCCAACTTCCACGACTTCTCTTGAACTGCCAGAACTTGGTTATGAGCATCTCAGGGCCCCGGCCTTGGCCCTAGCCCTAACTCCCGGCCCGCTCCGACGTCCCGGCTCTCGGTCCTGGTCCCGGCCTCCTCTCCTCCTCCTCCTCCTCCTCCTCCTCCTCCTCCTCCTCCTCCTCCTCCTCCTCCTTCTCCCGCTCCTCCTCCTCCTCCTCCTCATCCTCCTCCTCCTCCTTCCTCCTCCTTCTGCTCCTCCGCTTCTTCCTCCTCCTCCCCATCATCATCATCATCATCAGCAGCAGCATCATCCTCATCAGCATCAGTATCAGCACCAGCATCAACAGCATCAGCATCAGCATCATCAGCATCATCATCTACATCATCATCATAAATTTCATCATCATCAGCATCATCATCCTCATCATCAGCATCATCATCATCCTCCTCCTCATCATCATCATCAGCATCATCGTCAGCAACATCATCATCATCATCATCATCATCATCATCATCATCATCATCATCATCATCATCATCATCATCCTATCATTCCTTGCTCCTCCTCCTCCTCCTCCTCCTCCTCTTCCGCATTAGCAGCATCATCATCGTCATCATCATCATCATCATCATCATCATCATCATCATCAAAAACACCACCACCACCATCATCATCATCAGCAGCAGCAGCAGCATCAGCATCAGCATCAGCATCAGCATCAGCATCAACAACACCATCAGCATCATCATCAGCATCATAATCATTATCAGCATCATCATCATCAGCACCAACATAATCAGCATCAGCATCAGCATCAGCATCAGCATCAGCATCATCATCATCACCATCACCATCACCATCATCATCATCATCATCATCATCATCATCATCATCATCATCATCATCATCATCATCATCATGATAGCCATCGTCCCCATCCTCATCCTCATCCTCGTGCTCATCATCCTCCTCTCTCCTCCCTCCTCATCCTGCTCTTCCTGCTGTTCCTCCTCCTCGTCCTCCTCCTCCGCCGCCTCCTCCGCATCCTCCTCCCTTCTCCCTCCTCCCTCCTCCATCCTCCCTCCCCCTCCTCCCGCCTCCGCCTCCCGCCCCCCGCCTCCCTCCTCCCGTTAGACGTAAGTTGTCCGTTGTCGGCGTCGAGGTCGCCATCGTCGTCGTCGTCGTCGTCGTCGTCGTCGCCGGCGTCGTCGTGTCAACCACCAGCATCTGGAGCGCCTCGGATCGGCGGCACTGGCCAGAGGCCATTCAAATACTCAAATAAGATGCAAAATAATTAAAACATCAAAAATCGTCCCTAGACTGTTTCTAACATATTTTTGAATATTCCTCCTGTAGGGGGACGTGCCCGGCTTAACGCCAGTTCCGTCGGCCACGAGGCTCAGGACGCGCATCCTCGCCGACTGCTCCAGGGCCCTGGCTCCCAGTTTTTTGGCTCCTCGCTAGAAAGCCTGGGGCCAGTGCGGCTCCAAACTTATCGTGGCACGGATGGCAGGCCCGTGTTTCTAATTCACGACGGCGACGTGCGCTGATGGGGCTCTAGCACGCACGGAAGTCCCTGAAGGGTATTCTATGGGCGGATCGACCCCACATGTCATTCTGTGTGCGGATCGGCTCTGAAGGGCATTCTATGGGCGGATCGGACACGAAGGTCATTCTACGGGCGGATCGGCCCTGAAGGTCATTCCATGGCTACAGTTGTAATGAATTTGCTTGCACAGAGCTTAGACGATACAGGTTATCTCACATTCCCTGAGGCCTCCCTGGGAACAGCCAGAGATGGGGGAAGAGCGAGTATCGGATCGAAATCAAGCCCTAGGCCAGATCAAGCCTAGGCCAAAGGGCCTGGAGCCACGTGCCGAATGCAGGCGCATTCGACACAACCCCTTCCGCGCGCGGATGTGCACGTGTGAAGAGTCCGCTGGCCGCGTGCTCAGCACCCCCATTTGGCGCCTACATGGATGGCAAATCGAGTTAGGCGTACGCGATCTAGGCGCATGTTCGACATCACCTCCTCCACACACGTCTTTTTATACTCGGCCAGCCGCATGTTCGAGCCACCCTCTGAGCGCCTACGCGTGCGAAAACAAGTGTCAAGTAAGCGCGTGTCAGATGTGTGTTCGACAGCACCCCCTCCGCGCACATGCTTGCACTTGTGAAGAATCCGACCACCGCATGCTCGACAGCGCCCCTGGTGTCCACACACGTGAAGCCACATGCCAGACATACACGTGCCAGGCGCATGTTCGACCCTCCCCCCGCACACGTATTTGTACAGGTGAGGAATCCGCTGGCCGCATGTCCGACACCCCCGTTGACGCCTACACATGCTAAACAACTGGCCCAATACACACGTGCCAGGCGCATGTTCGTCACAACCCCTTGGCACCCACTCGCGTGAACACACGTGCCACACGCACACATGCCAAGCGCATGTTGAACACTACCCCCTCCGTGCGCGTATGTTTTACTGTGAAGAGTCCGCCAGCCCCATGTTCGATACCTCCCTGCGGACCCTGGCCTTGACACACGTGACAGCTGGTGCTAAGTGTACCTACGCCGAGGCGGACGTTGGATGCCCCCCCCAATTGGCGCCTCCCCTCGCGCAAGTATCTTTACACCCATCCCGTCTGGGGCCAAAAGCCCGACAACACAGAGAACCCTGGGCCGGAGCCCTCACAGGGAAGAACTGCACAGACAAGACTTGACGAGGTCCACGCCGATCTCTTCTGTCGGCGCTGAACCCCCGCTGCTCCTCCTCCTCCTCCTCCTCCTCCTCCTCCTCCTCCTCCTCGTCCTCGTCCTCCTCCTCGTCCTCGTCCTCCTCGTAGGACCGCTAACGTTTGGGGGGGGGGGTCCATCGCCGACCCAAGGTACCCCCGACGACCTCCGACAAAACAGATCTGTGCGCGCGGGCCTAGTAGACGCTTGACGTCGGCCCTGTCCGCAGACGGCGAGCACGGGGAGCTCGAGGGCTCGGAGCCGTGAAACCACGTGTTGTCTGAAACCGCCGACCCCAGCTTCAATCCCCCAACATGGCGGAGGTCGATCAAAATTCACCGCAACGCCCAGGTTCGATGTGCGTGGCTCGTTTCTTGCTCCTCGGCAGCCTCCGCAGGAGGTCCGTGTCGGCATCCGTCCACGTCTCCCGGAGCGCCAGCACGTCCTTCGCGTTCACGTGCGCCAGCTTCTCGAGGCAGGTGCGGGCGGACGCGAAAGTTCTGCTGGCAGCCTCCGTCCAGTCGCTCTGCTGGAGGCGCGCAGAGAGTGGTGCGAGGGAAGCTGCTCTCTTAGGGGGCGCGCAGGCATGGATTAGCGATCCGTGGATTTGGCGCGCGGTCGCCAAATCCATGGATCGGGGGAGGTGCCCTCCCCAAAATGCGGCCCGTGCCGCCTCGCTCGGCGGCCGATATCCGCGATTTCGAATGAGAGCGGGACCCGTCGCTAATCCACGCCCCCTTGATCCATGCTTGCGACCGCCTGATCTCTCAGAGGCCAGGAGCCATCCTGGAGGGGATCGGAGGCTTCTGAGAATACTTCCTAAAAGCATCGTGCTACCATTGAGCAGGGACCGACCGTCCCGGCATTCCTATAGGCCTACCACGAAATTCTCTTAGAACACAAACATGTTCTAAGAGCAAAACAATAGTTTTAGAACATAAGCCCGATGCGTTAAAAACAAGACAGACTCAGTCAGAAATGTTCTAAGAACATCTCGTGCACACCACCAAGGGTTCTTAGAGCATTCTTTGGTGGACCCGTAGGCGCGCCAGGACGCTTCGCCACTGCTCGACGACTGCCGAACCGGGGAGCGCAGGGGCCCTTCCGGCCGCCGCGAGCCCCGGCCACGCACGGGCTCCACGATCCAGATCCGAGGCACGGCCCGAACACCAGAGGGCCGGGCGGCGCGCACTAAGGAGGGGGGGGGGGGTGGCGTAAGGGGAGGGAGGGGGGAGGCTGCTCAGAAGGAGGCTGCTCCTTAGAAGGCGCCGGCCCTGCACCTGCAGCAAAGAAGAGCAGAAACGCCACGAACAGTACCTCGCCGCCCCCTGGGGGGCCTGCGATCTGCGCAACCGTCGCCACTTTCGTGGGCTCCTGGGAGGCCTAGCGGAGGTACGTCCCACGCGGATCACCTCGGTTTCTCGCCGCCCCCTTGGGGGCTTGCGATCTGCGCAACTGTCGCCACTTTCGTAGACTTTTGGCGCTCCGCGCGGACTTGGATCTGCGCTGGGGCCCCCGGGCGGCGCCTTCGGCGCCGCCCAATGGCGCGTTCCGCGCGCCAGGGAGGGGGCCGCAGCGCGGATCCAAGAAACCCGCGCCGAGCGCCAAAAGCTCATGTTTATTCTTTTTTTTCTTCTTCGATGCAGACAAGGCCCGCCCCTTCTAAGAAGCAGGGGGGCTTCCGAGAAGCCTTCCCCCCTCCCCCTGCCCCCCCTCCCCCCCCCTCCGCGCGCGGCCGGAGAGCCCAGAGCTTATACTGCTGCGGTACGCAGCACGCAGCACGTGGCGTGCTGGCACGGAGCTCGACACGTGTAGACTGCCAACGTAGGTTTAGAGCGCGTGGCTGTATGTTCGGCGACGATGGGCATCACAGAGGGGGGCGGGGCCAGCGCGGGAGCTAGAATGCAACGCCTCCCCCGGGGCCGTGCGCACGGCGGCAGTGCCTGGAGCGCACTGGGGGGTATAGGGGCGCTACGTTGTACCCAAAGATCCGACGTCGTGTTTTTTCCATACGCGGTCCCTGGAAATCTCGACCCCTTCCCCAGCACCGGCTTTTCATCCTGAATCGTTGTTTGGCGGTCCCGGGGCCAGGCGAGGGCCCCTGGGGGCCGAAATTTGCGGAAAACCTCCGTCTTGATTTTTTCATTACCTTGGATCTCTGGGTAGGGGGAGGGGGGGCCGCGGGCTATAATGCCCATTATGCCCCAAGCCATGAAGACACACGCTCTTGGCGCGATGCGTTCGCCCAACACGTGGGCCAACACGCGCCGAGACAACGCGCAGCGTGCTGCCGAGGACGCTGTGAGCACAGCGCGTGCTGCGCTCCAACACGGGCGCATCCGGGCAGCTCCAAGGCCCAGCGGGGTCCCCGAGTCGGCGCCCTCGCTGCCGAAGGCGGCGCGGGGTGGGGGGGCTCCCGGGAAGGCCCTCCCCGCGCCCCCCTGGCGGGCCCCCTGGGCCTCCCGCCGCCCCCGCCTCTGCTGCGCGCCGCCGCTGCTGGGCCTCCTCGTAGCGCCGCAGCTCGGCCAGCAGCTGCTCGTCTGCGCCAGGGGCAGCGATAGGGGGGGGACTGGCACGGGAGGGGGCGCCTCCAGCTGGAGTCGGCGATGCACCGCGCCGAGGGATCGGCGATGGGCCCCCGACGGTGGATCCGCCAGCTCCCTGGGCCGGTTGGGGCTGCCGGGCCCCTATCCAGCGATCAGTGGGCGATTGGGGGGCGATGCATCCCCCCTGTGCAGGAGCGCGCGTTCCACCACTCGCAAAGGAACTGCTCGAAGATGGCCTGGATCCGCCGCGGGGCATCTGCATACGATCGCTTGCACCGAGGCAGGCATGTGGCATGTGTTCCTCGGACGTCTGCGAGTATAGGCACCCTGCGTGCAGTGGAACGCGCTCGGCGCCTATGCCTGCCACCCCCTGTCGTGGCACCTGACCCAGACCCCCGACGTCGTGATTTTTTCCCAACAGGTCGGGATCACTTCGCCGGGACCGGTTCTTCATCTGGAGTCGTTCTTTGACGGTCCCGGGGCCCGGCAAGGGCCCCTGGAGGCCGACGCAGGTGAGGAGGAGGAGGAGGAGGAGGAGGGAGGAGGAGGAGGAGAGGAGGAGGAGGAGGGGAGGAGGAGGAGAGGAGGATGAGGAGTGAGGAGGAGGAGGAGGAGGAGGAGGAGGAGGAGGAGGAGGAGGAGGAGGAGGGGAGGAGGAGGAGGAGGAGGAGGAGGAGGAGGAGGAGGAGGAGGAGGAGGAGGAGGGGAGGAGGAGGAGAGGAGGGAAGGAGGAGGAGGAGGAGGAGGAGGAGGAGGAGGAAGGAGGAGGAGGAGGCGGAGGAGGAGGAGGAGGAGGAGGAGGAGGAGGAGCAGTGGAGCAGTGGCTGCAGAGCGCCGTCCGAAGCGCGAGCAGCACATGGGGGGTTGCGCTCGCTGGGCGTGCGCGTCGTGTCCCACACGCCCGCCCAACCCGCAGGGTCGGGGTACGCCATGGGCCACGACGAACACGCCCAGCTTGCGCGAGCTCAGGTGAGCTCGACATGGATGCCGAAGGGCGACGCGAACAACGGTCACGCACGCCAGCGGCAGGTGCTCGCCGAAGTCGAACACCACGATGCACGACCGGCTACCGCCCATGGCGGCCGCCAGCTCCACGCTTGCACCCAGGAGCACTCGGCGACCGCTCCCGCGCCGCGCGGCACGTGAGGTCGGCCACTGCCTCCAGCAGCAGATCGCGGGTCGGGGGGCGGCGACTGCGCCACGGCCTCCCCGAAGAGGCGACGCGCGAGCACCGCATTGGCCTCGCGGGCCTTCTTCACCTGGGCCTCCGAGAGCTTCGAGGGGGCCCCTGAGGGCGCAGCCGCCGCGGGAGGCGCCGAGGGCGCCGCCGAGGGCACCGCAGGGGCCTCCGAGGGCGCCGCGGCCGAGCGAGGCGCCGAGGGCGCCGCTGGGGGAGCGGCCGCCGCGGTGGCGACCCACGGGACCACGCGACGAGCGTCGTCGGCCCAAGCGTCGTTGTCGAGGTAGGCCATCCCGTCCGCGGCAGCATCACCCGCCGCACCGCGCGCCGCCGCAGTGGCTGCGGGCGCCGCGGTGGCCTCCGCGTCCAGGACCTCCTCCTCCTCCTCCACGTGCATGTCGTTGACCGTCCTGGCGGCAGCCCGCCGCGCAGCGCGGCGCTGACGGCGGCGCCGACGCTTCGCAGCGCGAGCGTGGGCGGCCGCCACATCTCCGCCATCAGGAGGACTATCACCCTGTTCACGAGGTACGTCTTCAGCAGGGCCGCGGGCGGCGGGCGGCACAGGCAGCGCGGAGCACCCGAAGAGTGCCGCCGACACCGCCGAGCGCGCCACCGCCGCGACCGTCCGCCTCGGCGCCTGCGCGGCAACCGCCCCGCGCACCGCAGCCTCCACGAGGGCCGCGGCCAGCGCGGGGGCGGGAGCCCCTCTGGCCCGTCGCGTGGCGGCCTCCATCCCAGGGACGGCGGGCCGCGCACCAGGCATGCGAACGCTTGAGCCAAAGTGGAGGAGGAGGAGGAGGAGGAGGAGGAGGAGGAGGAGGAGGAGGAGGAGGAGGGAAAGAGCGGGAGCGAGAAGGAGGAGGGAGGAGGAGGAGGAGGAGGAGGAGGAGGAGGGGACGAGGAGGAAGAGGAGGACGAGGAAGGAGGAGGGGAGGACCAGTGGAAACCCAAGACTCACCAACGATGCTAAGACAGGATGGGGAGGGGAAGGAGGAGGAGGAGGAGGGAGGAGGAGGAGAGGAGGAGGGAGAGAGGAGCAGGAGGAGGAGGAGGAGGATGGCGACAAACCCCCGCCGTGCTGGTTTCACCACGCGAGGGGTCTGGGGGGCTGGTCGTAGGCCCGCGTGCGCAGGTCCACACCGGTGACCTCGAAGGCCCCCGGCGGCCCCTCGGGGCACACGCCAGGCGGCCCGCAGCTCGGCCAGCGCCCCCGCCGCCTGCGCCAGCAGCCGGCAGCGGCCGCCGGCAAGCCATCGCGGCCGGGCCGGGGGCGGGCTCCTGCCTCGCTGCTGGCGCCGCCGCCGAGGGCCAGAGCAGCCTGGAGCGCGCTGCTTCGATACGCACAATAGGCCCGTGCCCTCGGAGAAGCAGGGGTGCTTCCGAGAAGCCTTCCCCCCTCGCCCTGCCCCCCCCCCCTCCCCCCCCTCCGCGCGTGGCCGGAGAGCCCAGAGCTTCTACTGCTGCGCCGGTACGCAGCACGCAGCACGTGGCGTGTTGGCACGGAGCTCAACACGTATGCTTTATTTTCAGCGCTAGTGGGCATTACAGAGGGGGGAGGGGCCAGGGGGGGGGTATGGTGTAACGCCTCCCCCCCGCCGTGCGCACGGCGGCACTGCCCAGAGCGCACTGGGGGGGAGGGGCGTTACGTTAGAGGGGGGGGAGGGGGGGCCGGGGTCTATAATGCCCATTATGCCCCAAGCAATAAAGAAACACGCTCCTGCGTCGCCTGTCTTCGGCTACCAAGGGTTCGTGTTGGGTCGACCCCAGCGTTGGTTGATGACACTGCGTCGATCGTTCAGCCTTGAAGGATCGGCGGCTTCGCGATCGCCAACTCCTTCCATGTTGGCCGATTCTGGGCCACTGGCGGCGTCCAACCTCGACCGCCCACGCTGGGGTCGCCGCCGGTCGACACGACGCGAGCCTGCCGCACACGTGGTGGAGCGACCCTGGGCAAGAGGCACCTCTGGTGCGCGGCTTTCGGGGAGCCGCGGGGGGGGCCCACCCCGAGCGCGCCAGGCACCACTGCCGCATCGCGTTCGGCGATGGGGGGGGGCCCCAAAGGGGCCCGCACCAAAGGTCACTCTGGCCAAAGATCACTCTTGCGTGTAGTCGACGCCTATTTCCGCCAGCCTGGAGGCGTGCACGGCGAGGACCTCGCAGGGCGCCGGGTGTGGGCCCCTGCCCAGCCCCCGGGGGGGGCGGAAACTATCCGCATCCGGCGCCCCGCCAGATCCTCGGGGGCACGCCTCCAGATCTGTGGATCTGGAAAGATTCCCGGCGTGGATCGCCAGCGTCGTGAGCGTCGTGAGCGCAGTCGTTGAGGTGAGCGTCGCCGATGTCGTCGTCGTGGTCACCTCGGCATCGTCCTGGGCAGGGGTTCAGCAAAGGGAGGCTGGCGACTCAGCCCACGCGACAGCTTTCTCCTGCGCCCCCATGGGCGCCAGAGGCGCCCGTGCATCGAGGAAGGCGCCTGGCGCGTGGACAACCGAGCTCGTAGACTCGGGGGCGGCCAAGAGGAGGGGGGTGTCCAAGAGGGGGGGGGGGGCGCAAATCATGGCCGGCGACATGTGCGCGGCCCAGGGGGGGCCAGGGACGCATTGAAATAAAAAGAGGCGCCCTGAAGTCTCTGGAGATCTCATGGCCCCCGCCCTGATATCCCCCCTCCCCCCTAGTCATCACATTCCTCTGTGCCGCCCCCGACAGACGTCCTGCTCGTCGACGCGGATGCCCGGGGTGGGCGTGGCTGGCCGAGCTGCAGGAGGAGCCGGGCCCGAGGTGCTGGCGTTGCCGAGGGCGCTCCCGAACTCCGACGTCAGCCTGCCGCTCTCCTCCTCGAACGCGAGCCTGCTCGGCTGCACGCAAGGAGGCGGCCCTCGGGGAGAGGGTGGCCTGGCGGTGCGCGGCTTGTCGGGGGCCGCGGGGGGACCAAGCACCAGCGCGCAGGACGCTACTGGCGCATTGCGTTCGGCGACGGTGGGGGCCCCACAGGGCCTGCACCGAAGGTCACTCCGGCGAAAGGTCACTCTTACGTGTGCAGGAGGCCAGTCCAAAGAGACCTGCCACAAGAAGCCCAACCCTGAGACCGCAGGACGTCCATCGATGTTTGGTGTGGAGTAGTCACGCTTTCCATAGCAAAACCATCGTAACCCAAGAAACCAAGGGCACCCTGGAGGAAAGCAGGGTACTTCTTGGCATGGGTCTCCACCGTAGTCGATTCTTCGAACGCGAGCCTGTACACCAGCTGCTCGAACTTCAGGTTCGCCACCCCCGCCCTCGCCACCTCCTCAAGGCTGTCGCTCGTGAAGCCGTACAGGTCCAGATCCGTGAACAGGCGGCCCACGAGCCAATAGAACAGGAAGCGCCTGGTGAACCCTGCCGCGGCGCCCAGGGAACAGAGCGCCGTGGGCCTCAGCATGTACAGCGGCACTCCCGCGCCAGGCCTCTCCGAGGGCCCCGCGCGCAGCTCCCGGCAGTAGGGGCGCCAGGGCCTCTGCGCATCCAGGTCGAACTCTGCGAGCAGCCCCTCGGACGGAGTCCCAGCGGAGTCGCCGAGGATGCGCACGGTGGTCTTGCTGCCCACCGACCTGGCGTCCGCACTCCCGTTGGCTTCGCCGCCGAATCGCGCAACCACCTCGTGATTGTCGATCTCGCCCCCGAGGCGCGAGCCCTCCAGCGGCCCAGCGGCGGCCACGATGGCGCACGGGCGGTCGGCCAGCAGACGCGAGAGGTCCTCGACGCTGGGCAGCACGCCGCGGACCTTGCTGCCGCCCAGCTTGCCCAACACCGCGGAGTCCTCCTCCGTCCAGGTCTCCCGCAGCGCCAGCACGTCCTTGGCGTTGACGCCCTCCAGCCGCCGCAGGGCCCCGAGCGCCTCCCGGAACTCCCCGCGGAACTCGGCGCTGCCGTCGAGGCTGTCCAGGTGGCCCCCGAGCGCCTCCAGCAGGCGGCGATCCCGCTCGCCGTCGCGAGACCGCACGCCCACGCCGGTCCGCTGGAACTCGCCCCCGATGGCCTCGCAGACCCCGTAGCCGCTGGGGCCCCCCTCGGCGGCGCCGCCCTCCGCGCGGGCGCAGCCCGCGCCGGCCTGCTCGTCGAGGAGCACGGCCGCCCCGCGGCCCGGCCCGAGGCGCGGCCGCCCCGGGCCTGCGCCCGAGCTCCGCGCGGGGGCCCGGCCCCGCAGCGCCTGGGGAAGCGCAAAGGTGCCGATACCCAGAGATCCCACGCATTGAAAAAGTCAAGACGGAGGTTTTCCTCAGATTTCGGCCCCCAGGGGCCCTCGCCGGGCCTCGGGACCCTCAAAAAGCGACTCAGGATGAAAAACCGGTCCTGGGAAATGGGTCGAGACTTCCAGGGACCGCGCATTGAAAGAATCACGACGTCGGATCTCCGGGTACCGCTACTCTCCGGACCTATCCCGGGGCGCGTGCTGACCAGGATTTCCAGGCGAATCCAGCGGTGGCGACGAGGGCCTCCAAGGAGGCCGACAAGCAGGGGAGAACGGGGCGCAGGGTATACTCTGGGATCTCCTCTCCGTGCTCTTTTTCTCCACTTTCTCCCGCGCTCCCCCCCCCCGTGGAAATGGAGGGCACCCTGGGCCCTTCGGGTTGGCCTGGGGGCGGGGTGGTGCGTGGCGAAGGGCCCGGCCCCGCAGCGCCAGGAACGCGGCCGCCGAGGCCGCGGCGGCGCACAGCGCCAGCCCCCTCGCGCCCCGGCGGCGGGGGGGCCCGCCGGCGCCGCGGGGCGGGGCGGCGGGCCCGTCGCTCTCGGCGCCGGCCGAGAGCAGCCCGCGGGCCTCCCCGGGCAGCGCCATCGCCAAGGGTCGGGCGGCCGAGGCCCTTAATTGGGCCGCAGGAGGGGCCGCGGAGCCGCTCGCGCGTGAGAGCGGCGCCCGTGCTCGCGAGCGAGGCTCCGAGCGCAGGGGCGGCGCGCCGAGGGAGAGAGCCGCACCACGCGCGCCCGGGCGACGCTCCTCGGAGGGGCCGCGCCGAGGAGCAAAACGAGGCACAGCGCCCGAGCGAGGCCCACGGGGCCAGCGCGGGGCGAGCGCCGCCGCAGGCGAGAGCGGCGGCGCCGACGCGGGCGCCCTCGGCAGCCGCCGCCTGGGCCCCTCCTCCGCCCGGAGGCCGGCGGCTGCCTCCAGGAGTCTCCAGGGGTGCCCGGAGGCCTCTGGAGGTCCCCAGAGAAGGCCTTTTTTTGTTTTCTCTCTATATCTCTCTTTCTTTCTCTCTCTCTCTCTCTGTGTCCGACTTCTCGCTTTCTCTCTCTCTCTCTCTCTCTCTGTCTCCGACTTCTCGCTTTCTCTCTCTGTCTCTCTGTCTCTCTGACTCTCTGGTTGTCAAGAAGGCACAACAAACAAACAAACAAACAAACAAACAGACGATCCGCATCCTGTTCCTGCTCCCTCCCCTCCTCTCTCCCTCTCCCTCGCCGCCCCTGCCCGTCTCCTTCTCCACTGGAGACCAGGCGATGAAAAAGCCCAGCTGCTCCAAACATTCAAATCCTTGCTGGGGCCACCATTCGAAGGAGCAGTGGCAAAACACTGCAAGTGCCTTCTGCTCCAGAATTTGCGCGAGCCTCTCGGAAACAGGAGGCGCACGGGATGCGGCCTGACCTAAGGAACTATGAATAAGGAACAAAGCCCGCTTTTTCCAAGTGAGTCTACGAAGTCCGAGAGAACGGCCGAGCCCCTTTCTAGCGGCGTTCCGCTACGATTTGCTTTTGCGATTCGACCCCCGCCCCGTCTGCCAAACTACTATAGGGGGCGAAAGCTCTGGCGCGCGCCCCGCAAGGAACGGGGGGGCCCAACAGAGGGGTTCCACCTGAACGCGACCACCGTTGCATTATGTCGAACCAAAGACCTCCGAACCGCGCGGCCTAAGGAACGGGAGGTGCTCCTGCGAGGAACTGGGCCTTAATGCCCCCATCTTGGCACGCAGAGAAGGGCGGGAGCACCAACGCGCGCCCCGCAAGGGACGGGGGGGTCCCGAGAGAGGCGCCGGGCTTGTGCGCGACCGCCGTCGCACTGCGTCAAGCAAGCGCAAGGAACCGAGCCCCTCTTGGAGCCCCGTTGCTTAGGCCAGCCGCCCTCATCCAAAAAACGAACCCGCGCGTCCAAAATCTGAAGGCACACCAGGGGGCCCGCCGCCAAAAAGGTAGCGGAACGCACGCAGACCAAAGGAACGACCGAGCCCCGTTTTAAAAGTAAGTGTTCCTTATTCAGGCCGGATCCTGTACGAGGATGAGGAGGGGGCACACTGCTAGGCTTGAAGAACCACCGAGTGAAGTAAAGCAGCACATGTGCATGGTTCAGAATTCTTGAAGTGAAGATTTACCGCATTGCTACAATTGCACATCACCGCCGCCCGACCTTGGATAATACCGCACCCGCAGCCCCATCTGGGACCACTCCCAAATCCCGACCACGCCGCACACGGGGTGATATTCCTAAGTTTGCTCGTTTCGGACACTCTGCTTCCTTCGAGTTGCTCCAAACCTCATGTCGACAACAAAAAACAACGAATCTTCATCCGATATCAATCGGGGAGACGTAAGACCCGGGTACGGGGGACTCGGAAATCCCCGACGAGGTCGTCAAAAAAATGACGAGGCCGAGCCTGCATTTTGACGAGGCCTCCCGCTGCAGACATCCCACAAAACTCCTCCTCGTCAAAATCCGAGTCGCGGTCGTCAAAAAACGATGGCGAACCCGAGTCCTGGCAAACCCGGGTCCTACGCTCCCCCGAATCAAACAGGAATGGAAGGGTTCTGGGAGTCCTAATGTGCCGCCCCCGACATGCTTAGACAGCTCGTGCCACGCGGTGGCCCAAGAGACAGTTTCGCGATCCCCCCCCGAGCCCGCACTGGCGCCAGCTTGGCGGGCGGCCCCGCTGGACGACAACCCGATCGACCGCCCTGCTCACGATCGGTCGAAATTTCGTCCACGGTCCACGGAATGCGAATCGGGGCTTCAATGCTTGGACGCCCGAGTTATCCGGGGTAACTCGGGTCCGGGGTAACTCGGGTTTGGGTTCCCGAAAAACGAACCCGAGTTAACCCTGACCCGAGTTATCCCTGATGATTCGGGGCTCTGGACGCCCGAGATATCCGGGGTAACTCGGGTCCGGGATAATTCGGGTTCGGACTCCCGAAAAACGAACCCGAGTTATCCCTGACCCGAGTTACCCCTGATGATTCGGGGCTCTGAGAGCCTGCGTGCGCAAGCATGTACCGCCCCTGGGGGTCGAACGAAAGAAAATGCGAACGGCTGCAGCCCCGCGATTGGCGGACTGGCTCCTCCCGCCCCCCCCCCTCCGGCATCGATCACGGCGTCTGCCCACCTTGGGAGACGAATGCAGACAGAGGAAGTCTCGTCCTGACGGCGCACTGGCAAACGCAAAACACGTGCGAGCTGGCGTGCACGATTTCTTCTTCGTAGGCATCCGCATCATACGGTTTTGGCACCGTAGCTCGTGCGCGTGCCGTTCGCATCACGGGCCAAGTGTAAACAGAGCGCGGGGCAGAGGCAGCGATGCCAATCCAGATGTATTAAAGCATTGTGCGTGCATCCCCTTATGATCCGATCGATCATTCATACAACCTGACACTCAAGGAGTCACAACAGAGTACGTGACAACTTCTAGGAACTGGGCTTGACCCAAACAATGTTTTTCGTTTTGCTTTCGTCTTGCTTTTCGTTTCGCTCTACCCGTCTTCCTTGTACTTCCCTGCCAAAACGGAAAAAGAAAACGCAGCCGAAGCCCACCAAAACAGCGTTTAGGTCCAGCCCTGCGAGCTGGCGTGCACGAGGGCGCCGGGACGCAGCAGAACGAGCCCCCGAGGTGGAGCGGGGCCGCAGCCAGGGGAAGAGCAGTGGAAGGACGAGGGCGGGGCAAGCGCCGAGCGCCGCCCGCAGCGGCGGCCCACCGCTCCCCTCATGCGACTCGTTGTCCTCCTCCTCCTCCTCCCGCTCTTCCTCCTCCTCCTCCTCCTCCTCGTCTTCCTCCTCCTTCTCCTCCTCCTTCCTCCTCCTCCTCCTCCTCCTCCCTCCTCCCCACTCCTCCTATCCTCCTCCTCCTCCTCCTCCTCTTCCTCTCCTCCTCCTCCTCCTCCTCCTCCTCGTGCTCCTCCCGCTCTTCCTCTTCCTCCTCCTCTTCCTCCGCCTTCTTCTCTCCTCCTCCCGCTCTTCTTCCTCCTCCTCCTCCTCGTCCTCCTCCTTCTTCTTTGTCAAGCCTCGGGGCCAACTCACAGGGGCCGCGGCGTTTCCTGCTGCTGGTCCTCCTCCTCCTCCTCCTCCTGCTCGTTCTCCTCCCCCTCCTTCTGTTTTTTTGGCTGGGCGACGTAGCGCGTCAAGTCGTCCCTCCCCTCCTCCCCCATCAGCTCGGTCGTCTGTGCCATCCGCCTGCGAGCTGGTGATCTTGTCGCTTCTCTCCTCCTGCTCCTCCTGTTCCTCCTCCTCTTCTTCCTCCTGATCCTCCCAGCCATGGCATGTTCGCTCAGCGAAGTGATCACATACGAAGAACAAGCGGCATCAATATCAAATGGGGGTGTCCCGCACGGATCTCTTGGATCGGTGCTGGACCCCTGTCACTGGCGCGCGGACCGCGCCAAGGGCAGCGCCAGAGCAGCCGCCAAGGGGCCCAGCGCCGATCCAAGAAATCCGCGCGGAACTCTGGCACTTTCTGCAGATGCAGTTGTTTCTGGATTCCCCCCCCGCGAAGCGATCAATATGTCGATCGGGCCAGCCCTCC